AAAAAAATGTACAAAACTAAACAGCCTATAGTATTTTTACAGTATTTATTTTACAGTTAAAATATATGTTTATCAAATAAAGTCTAATGTTACAACTAATCAGGGATCCCTTTAATAGTAGTTTTGGGATTTTTTAAAAATTTATCTGTCAAACTGTTGCTAATAGTTAATACCTTCCAGCCATAATGTTAATCATAGAGCAGAGAGGATGGACAAAGGGGCAGAAGTTATGTCGTTATATCCAGCTGTCTTCTATGATGGATAAACTAATAAAGTTTAAAAGGTTTTGACCAAACATCATTTCAGATATCAACAGATTACCTTTTAAATATGTTTATGCTTGAAGAACTTTATCTTTTGAGCATGCTGAACATATAGGAAACTGTAAACAGTCACTAAACATATTTATTTTGGATTGGAAGGCAGTCAAAATTACAAACTTGGTTTACTGCCATTGTATGTTTTTTTTTTATTGTGTTTTATTGTAGAGTTGCAGAATGCTTAAAAAACCTAACAAAAGTTTTCATTTGAATTTCTCTGCTGCTTTCTCATAGTTATCACATTACCTGTCTGTCTTCTCTCCACCTCCCGCCCCCATCTTGCCGTCCATCTACTGTGGGTAATTAGGGATAACTCTCAGCATGGGATGGTGGCCATGAAGTCTGGTGGTGCTGTGAAAAGCATAATTGTATAAACTGTCTATGTTTGTCTCATTTGTTCTTTGCGTAGAATTTGTGCAATGTTTTTGTGTTATGTGCATCTTCAGAGTCATGGGATGTGCATCCTAGTCCTATGATTTTTGTCATGTGACACCAACCAGAATTTCAGATGTTTCTCACATCAAGCTATTCTTTTTTTTTAAATAAATGATTTAATGATTTATATCATGAGTTTGATTACCATCTGCTGCTGAAATGAAAAGGTGAACAATTTAATTCAGTTCTTTTTATATAGCGCCAGGTCACAACATACATTGTCTCTGCACTGTGCACAAAAATAAAAAAAAACAATCTAAAGAAGTGAGCAGATCATGTTGAATCACTTCGTCACAGTCTCCCATCCTGAGCATCAGATAGTGGAGAGGAAAAACTCCCTTGTTTGTGTGTGTGCATGTTTAGTTACTTTGTGGGGATGAATTTTGACCATTTTTCCAGTACACACAGCCTTGTGAGGACCACCTATTCCTTTTGGGGACAAAAACCGGGTCTTCATTTTGTGAAATACAGTTGGTGGGTTGGGTTTAGGACTTAGGTGTGAATTGATTTTAGGCTAGGTTTAGAGTTTGGTAAGTACTGGAGTTGTAGGTATAGGGTGAAAGGTCAGGGTTAAGCAGTAAATATTGACTAAATGAAAAAAAAAATTATGACCAGGTTACTTTCTGGGTAGAATTTGCATGTTCTCTCCATGCATGCGTGAGTTCACTCCTGGTACTCCGGCTTCCTCCACAGAACAAAAACATGCCTGTTAGGTTAACTGGTAACTCTAAATTGTCCCTATGTGTGAGTGAGAGACTGGTCGTCTGTCTCTATATGTGGACCTGTGATGGACTTGTGACCTGTGCAGGGTGTACCCCGCCCCTCACTGTGACTGCTGGATACAGGCACCAGGGACCCTGAAAGGAATAAGCGGGTACAGATAACGGATGGATGGATAATATAAACAGTGCTTTATCATTAAATAACTCCTTTGCTTTATGCAGTACTACAACAGATTTAGCTAATTTTGTTCTTAACTAATTTATATGAATTTTCCATGTCAGTTTTTCATCAGTGACACCCAAAAACTTCACTAACTACAAATCTCAACATTTTCGAATCTAAATGAAACATTGACATTTCTCTTTCTATAATTAAATATCATAACTAGTTTTGTCCAAATTTAATGATAATTTCTTACATTTAAACCAAGTTTGTATTTTTACAAATTCTGTTTGCATCATTTCCAATATTTCTATATATTTACCCAAACAAAAAAAATGTTGTGTCGTCTGCAAATAAAACACATTAAAAAAAAAAACTAACACATTCACAAAGTCATTCAAATATAAAATAAATAACTTTGGTCCAAGTACAGAACCCTGCGGAACCCCACATACAATATTACAAAGTTCAGATCTTACATCATTTATTTGTACAAACTGTTTCCTATTTGTCAGATAACTGTAGTGATGGACCTCTTACTAAACTAAAATAACAGGCAGCGTGAAGTAAACCAGGGCAGAATCAAACAATGGACAAACAAGGAAGAGGAAGTCGTGAAAGACGACTGGTTTAAGTAGAGCCAGGATGAGTGGAAAGTGGAAACAGCTGGCTGACTACTAAGCATACACATGTGTGAGAGACAGAGACTGATGGAAACAGACTGAGCTGAATTGGGAAAAGATGAGAATGACAACAAAGAGGACAAACACCAGAGACGGACAGAAACAAGAAAGACTTATCTTACTAAATCTAACTTGTAGTCAACATMAACTTTTCTCCTGCATACCACTAGAGGGCGATCATGTTCCACCATTGATTGCAGCAGTTTGAGAATCAAGGTTAGAGGTAACAAACTTTACAGAGAACTCTAACTGTATGTAACAAAGACCATATTGGAAGAGATATTCGGGATTTTCAGTGTAAAGAGAAACCAGGTTGTAAACTTTCAATATGTCATCATCAGTTGATATCCAAGAGCAAGGTCATTGAAAGCAGGAGTGGAGGTGGTGCTGCATCACCCTCTGATAGATGGATGCCAGAAAATATCACAAAATAAAGATAAATGACAAAAGAACCAAAAACAGATTTAATTTGTACTGCTTAAGTTTTAATTCCAATACAATTTAATATTAGAATATTGACATTCAGTTCAGAAGGTGATCATGCGTATTTTCTATATTTGTTACATACAAAATGAAAAGTTTCCAGCCTTTACTTTTTGTAATTGTGATGATTATCACTTATAAAAAAAAATAAATAAATTCAGTATCTGAGAAAATGAGAATATTGCATAGCAGTTTTTGGTACTTTCGGCAGTGTGAGCAGGAGCGATGTTCTAATTAACTCTATGAGCTAAAAATATTTTGTTCCTCAAGTCAAGCCAATCCTGGACCAGAGACCACATCAGAGGGGTCTTACCTGGGCTGGGGAGCCAAAGAGCTGTGGCTCAATGGTCCTTTTCTTTTTTCTCGATGAAAGTAAATTTAGTTTGTTATTTGGAAATCATACTGCCAGACGTAACATCTGTTTATGCAATGTTTTAATTTTCTCAGACACTAAATTAAAAATTTTTCCCATTATTTGTGAGCCATAATTATAAAAATATACATTATAAG